TTCAATTACATGCCAAATCAAAAACTTACTTAAAAAATGGAAGACGTCATTATGGCAAGATCGAGTCACAGCAACTCACGGCGATGTCAGAAAGTTCTGGAAACTTACAAAAACTGCAACTAGAAAGTCTTCAACGATTCGACTTCACGGCGGGGACGGCCTGCTTACATCTATTGAGCAAGCCGAGGTTCTGGTTGACCACTACGGAAGGGATATTTATGTGAGAACAGACCCACAATCAATCATACCCAGTACGACCAGAGACATAAATTTCATGTTTGTAAGTCCTAAAAAATTAAAAACCATTATTCGACGAACCAGCGGTAACCGTGCACCGGGTCAAGACAGTGTACAAACCATTTTGCTAAAGCAACTTCCTCGGAGACGTATAGTACACCTTACAAATTTATACAATACCTGTCTCCGACTGAGATATTTTCCAGAACAATGGAAACACGCAATATTGTTCCCTCTATTAAAACCGGCAAAAACAGGCAATGCTCCAGAACACTATAGACCTATCAGTTTGCTGCCACACCTCGCAAAAAATTTTTGAAAAAATAATTCTGAATTATCTTAGGGATTTCTGTGAGGAACAATCGGTCATACTATATGAACAAAAGGTTTCCAAGCACAACTAAACACTTAACACCATTTAATGAGACTGCCACAGCAATGATATCTATAGATTGCTCGAAAGCATTCGATTCAGTATCTTACAGCAATCTCTGCCAGAAGCTACTTGATCTTGAGTGCCCTGAACAGCTCTACATTATCATAACATTCCTTCTTAACAAACCGAAGCCTGGCTGTAAGAGTACAAAATAAACACTCCCGCACTGTCCCCTTAACCTGCATTGTACCCCAAGCAGCAGTTCTTTCACCACTATTATTTTGCATCTACACGGCGGAAATCATAGGTCAGAACTACAAACGCGCTAGATAGTAAGTTAGTTATTAAGTAGTAATAAGATCCTTATAAACCCCCATCACCTTTACTGATACATTTCATAATTATTGTTACAACAAAACATAAAGACAATTTCAATACGGCCGTGACAATTTCAACTGCATCTTAAAATGTAACACAGTTACAGTAAAAGGCGTTCAACACAAAACTTAATTGTAAAATAAATTGTTCATTATGTATTATATTATTGGGGTTAAGAAAATAAATAAATAAACAAAGAAATTAAAAATAAAATATAATAAAATAAAACGTGCTTAGCTCAGGAACATGAATTAGTAGACTATCAATGACTTTACCCGAGAGTTAAAATCTGACGAATGATTCTATTTCATTCTCCACAACAAAGTGCAAAATGCAACTAAGATGTTTTCACTTCAAAATACTTCCTGAAATACTCAAAAACAAAAAGTCGTACGGAAGTGAAATTGCACATTTTATATTTTTGCATGACTGAGAGAATATTTATTTATTTACAAATGAATTTATATTTATAAATGCTGCACATATACATTTACAGATTTAATGGTTGGAGAATTTATTTTAAGTCTAAATACAATAAACCTCTTAAGAATACTATCTTTAATATTGTGACAATTAATGATGTGTTCTTCATCAACAGAACTAATTTTTCTCTATGAAAAATTCTTTAATTTGTTACTTTATTTTATTAATTTTTCTTTTGTAATTCAGTGGTTATAAAAGAAAAAGTTGGAAATTAAGTTTGAAACTTGGTTATAGAAGATATTTTCATAGTTTGAGGCTATTAGCTGATAATTTTTTTATTTTGAAGTCAGTGGTTTCAAGTATGAAATTGAAATTTGGCTTTCCTTTATAGTTATTGTAACTTTCAATATTAAAAATATGAATGTAATTGATGACCCTTGAATCATAATTGAATTGAATATAGTTGATGATCCTTAGATAATAAAGAAACATCTTGAATAAACATCAACACTTTTAGAATTTCAATAATAAGAAAAATAATCATTTCATTTCAGAACTTCTGCAGCACAACAATCTATTTCTTAAAAATCAATCATGATGAGTATCATACCACTTATTCTGGCATCAAAGAAACTACTTACTTTTAGTTACTCGAGATCTCAATAAAGCTATAGATCATCAACTATACCCATATTTTAATGATCAAAGTAACAATAACTATAAAGGAAAACCAAATTTCAATTCTATACTAGAAACTACTAATTTCAAGATAAAAATTGTGTTAGCTAGTAGCCTCTAACTATGGACACTATCTTCATACATCCAAGTTTCAAACTTCAGTTCCATCTTTTTCTTTCATTACCACTGAATTAAAAAGCAAAATTAATAAAATAAAGTAAAGAATTAAAGTATACTCACAATTTTATGTCTATGAAGAAGAAACCAAACTTATCACTTCAAACACTAATATGTATAACTATTAAATAAAAACTACCAATTAGTAAATTAAATCTATTACTAAAACCACACAATTAAACTTTTAAACAAAATATCACTAATAAAATAAGAGTCTGTGACCATAAAACCTATCACTGAACATGAAATCAAAACTATCACTTTAAACACTAAAACGTATAACTATTCAATAAAAACTACATATTAATAAACTAAAACTATCACTTAAACAACAAAATTAAGCATCCAAACTAAAATACTGCTGATAAAATATGAAAATTTAGGAGTTTTGAGGTTAGAAAAACCTTCCATATGTACCATGTGCTCAGCTCAGGAACACGAATTAGTCGACTATTGCCGACTTTACCCGAGAGTTAGAATCCGACGAATGAATCTATTTCATTCTCCACAAAAAAGTGCAAAATGCGCCTAGATGTTTTCACTTCAAAATACTTCATGAAATGCTCAAAAACAAAATGTCGTTTACAGTTTTCTCAAAACTAGCTCTAATAATTTTTAAAATTTGTTGGTCTAAAGTACCTTTAGGCATTTTTTTTTTTAATTTGAAATAATTAACCATTTCACATTGTAACCTAGTATAAAAAATGGTTAAGTATAATTTTTTTTTTTTTTTTTTTTGCACTTACATATATTTATCCGCACCTGTCAATTATAACTAGAAATATAAAATATAAAAGAATCTTATTATTAACGGAAGAAACCGAAGAAACCCGGGCGCACCCGAGCTCAGCCAAAAGGTTATAAAAACCTTCCTCATGCAGCACGTGCTTAGCTAAGTAGCATACGCGCCTTTTTTTTTCATTCTTTCCGAAACCTTTGTCCCGCATGCGCCTCAACAGGACACTTAGTTGACAAGTTGGAATATACCTGTTGATGTTTGTTTATTTGATCGATCATTATTATTTATCTTTTGATATTACTGTTTTAATTATGGTTTACAGAATGCTAACATTTTTTATAATATAAATATAATGAGTTCTTAAAACTGTGATTGAAAAAAATTAAATTTCGTTCAGTTATTATTTTTGATCTCGCACGTCGTCTTGCTTACTGTTATCACAGGTAATATTATAATTATTATTATTATGATTTTAACTCTATTCACTTTTCTATAGCTTTTATAAGTTTATGATTGTAATTTGTATATTATGTTTTAGAATGTAACTATGAATTCTTTGAAAAAATAATTGCTGTATTTTCATTTAATGAATTTCAATTTTATTGAGTGGTCATATTAATCTGTTGGCTGCCTGCGTAAGCTTAAGGGCGCCTTATTTTAAATACTTATTGTAATATTGTAAATAGCTGCCTGATCTATCATATGGATTAAACCAAATTTTCAGTCAAGATATTTCTATTGGGTTAGCCACGAGGTTAATATATAAATAAAAATAGCTTGACTGAAAGTCCTGAAAATTTTGTTTCATCCTTGAATACTTATAGTCTTACAAATGAAGTTCAGACAAATTAAAATGATAAATGATGAAATATTTGTTATAATTGTAAAACCGGAAAATGATCTGAATTTGTAAAATATTCAGTATTTTTTCTCTCTTAATCTTAGTTAACAAGAATAAATTATTCAATAAAATGGGTTATTAATGATAATTTATTTTATTTTGAGTGAAAATTACTGTTTTTTTTTTTCTTTATTCTTTAACTTTCTTCTTGTGCACTTCAGCCTTGAGCTAAGTTAACCCAACCCAGGATGTCTAGCTCCATCTCTTATAAGAGTCTTCATCTCCTGCAATGTATTTTCGCTCGCTTATCCCAACTTGGAAATTATTATATAGTTCAGTATAGCTATTATAGTTGAGCTTTGGTCTTCCTCTAGGTCTAGTGCCTACTGGTCTCGCCTCGATACATTTGTGTGGGTCACAATTAGGGCTCATTTTGGGCACATGCCTGTACCATCCCAACTTTTCTCCAGAGTCTCCTTCATTAGAGAAATATTTAGTTCTTTCCTCATAGTTTCCTGCAGTTATTCGGCTACATTTATTGTCCGTGAGTAACCAGCTCTCGTCTAGATATAGCAGAAAAGGCATATATATAGCCTTGAAAATATGGAGCTTGAGGTCTTTATTGATCTTAGTCTTTCCTACGATTGTGTTTCTAATGAAATAGTACATACTATTAGCGTTTCGTATTCTGTGGGATATTTTTGGTTGGACTTTTCCATTTCTGCTGATCACAGTTCAAAGGTAGGAGGACTCATTCATGACTTTAAGCTCCTCACCACTGCACATTATGTATGTGCATTTATGGGCTCTCGTCCTTATTGTAGTATTTTCCTTTTTCTTGCATTAGTATTCATGCCCTTTCTTCCCAATTCTACTCTCCCACTCTAAGGGTTTGCTAGAGATTATATGGAGTTTCACAGCTTTAGAATATTTGTATTATTTCTAACAGTTATAACATTACTGTATATGTGTAAAATAAAAACTGTATATAAAATTACATTATATGTAATTTATGTAGTGATGATGTTGTATTTTCCTTCAACATCTTAAGTTACCTGCCAATTTATTTAATGCAATTTTATATATATTTTTAAATAATCTTTATTTCAGTAGAAAAATAATAAACAAGTAATCAATGATTGATATTACAGGGACTGATTATGGAGAGTCCACTCGAGCATGGATCTGAAGACCATTGGGTTTGGAACGAACATGACAAGAGTTGTGATGTGTGTTTACATGGACAAGAATCAAATCGCTTATGCCTTGCATATTTCCGCCCCCAATACACATCTGGTACTGCAGCTGTTAGAGGCACAAAAGTCCTCAATAATGGAAGGTACTACTGGGAACTTGAACTTCCTTTGGTGATATCTGGAACCACCATAATGTTTGGTGTTGCAACGAAAAAGGCAAGACTTAATGCTCATTTGCATAGGAACTTACTATGGAGAGATCCGCACATCTGGAGTTTATCCCATGACGGAGCAATCTTCCATGGAGGTAAATGGGCTCATTACACAGAACCTTTCCAAGATAGTGTTGCTACAACATTAGGAGTTCTGTTTGATGGCATAGAAGGAACATTAACTTTTTATAAAGATGGTGTTTGTTTAGGAGTGGCATTTAAGGATTTACACAAAATTAATGAAAACATATACCCCATTATTGCATCTACTGCAGGAGTGACATATAAACTATCCTTGAAGAAGAGGGACTTCGGGAGTTTACAAGAAAGGTGTCGAGCTGTACTTCTTTCTCAATTAAAAGGACCGAAAGTACCAAAAACAGACCTTGGAAGGTTGGTTTTGGTACCTACACCATCTTTGCCTGTAGCAATAAGGAACTATTTAAATGAATCTATAGCAAAAACAGGTGTACGTGCAGAGAGATTCAATGATTTCGATTGAATATAAAAATGATGTTTTTTGTGATTTCTATCTCCACTTAACGACATGTTTTGTCATTAAATTATTTTATTTATTCGATCTATGTTTTTTTTTTCATTTTTTATGATTTGTAATTTACTATTAGAAAAACAAACTTATCTGTTTTAAGTTTCTATGTTTGTTATAAGATTAGTTTCTGTAAATATAAAACTTTGATACTTCTACACATTCTTTATTCACCTATTAATTTTCAAAGTTTCAAACAGACATCGTTTTTAAGAAAATTCTAACATTTAATTTTGTCATCCCAGTCCCATCTTAACCCCTTAAATTTCCATTAATGCTGGAAGTACGCCATCCCTTCTTACTGTTTAATCTATTTTAAATTTTAGGATGCCATATTTTTTCCTGCCTCAGCCACTCAAGAATTTTTACGTCTTCTGTGATTACCACTTGAGTTTTTGATATTTCTCACAGACTTACTTCTTTTTCCTCAAAGTCTCAGAATTTCTTAATATTCTGACAGTGGTCTTCATTGAGACTTTTTCTCAACTTCTATCATGCTCCTCGTTTTGCTTGATTGACTATTCCTTTGGATTGGTTTGGTCAAATATTATTAATTTTGTTTTTTTATGTATTTTGTCTTTAACGTAGGCTTTCCATGATTTCTTCTGTAATTGAATAACATGACATACTTCTTCATTCCACCACTCTGTGCACTTCCCTTGATATTTTGCCTAAACCACTAACTTCTCTTACTACTTCTAAGATACAGGTTCTGAAATGGCATGACTGCTGTTCTGTATCACCATACAGACTAATAATTGTTAGTTTTCTTTCCGATTTTACAATCTAGCGGTTCTCTTTACAGCGTCATCTAGAATTTTTATATTTAATGTTGGGTAATTCTGCTTTAATGTGTCTCTGCGGAATTTAAATATTGACTATTAGTAGCAAATGATAGCTGTCGATTTCTGTGCCTCTTATTACTTAAATTTCGACAAAATACTGTATTATACTATGATCATATATGAAATAGTCGGTTATGTTGTTTATTTTCAGATTCGAAAAGGTTATTTTGAATACCCTTTGGTGAGAAAAGAAAGAATGAAAGAGTTGCCGACAAGCATGTCATTGTCCATTCCCATTCCTTACAATTTTTCCTCAAGTTTGTGTTGGATAAGTCCCTGCCGTAGGTTATTTATATTTAATATTGATACAAATAAATAAACTATGGTTAGTAGGTGATGTACCATCAGGAAAAAATTATTTTTAAAAAGTTACCAGTTCGTAAAAGTAACAGAGAGAATTAAAAAAATATTGTGTTATAATCGGTATTGAATATTTGGTCACAACATTATTGCTATGTTCTGTTTTTAAATTATGATTTAATCTAACATTCTTTATCATATTTTAACATACCAATTGATAAATTTCCATGACCAAAATATAAAAGATTTTGACAAAAGAAATCTTCATCGAAAAATAGAAGTGACTGTTTTAAATAATATAGTTAAAATCCACAAAATTATTTTGATAGTACAATTTAATTTTTAAGTTTTTATATCTAATTATCATAGGAAAACATCCTTATGATGGAGGAAGCCCCAAATTCTTGATGAATTAATGTAATAAAAACAAAATGTAGAATTGTAAAGAATGAAAGATCTATTTTCTTAGAAAACTGCAATTTGAGCTAGCATCCATCTTTACAAATATTTATCTTATTTTAATAAGGGGCCACGGTGATCAAGCAAGTTAAGGCAAAAATTTCATATCGAGTGTTCAAATCCTGTTCTGGGATTTAATAAGAAAAAATAAATTCAAATTAGTGCAGGCTTGATTGCTTAGGTCACTATGGGGCAGGTTCAATTCCCACATAGGGATGGTAACCTCCCCACCCAGAGATTCACAAGGAGGTGAACAACCTCTGTGAGTTATACAACAGCTCCTGGTCCTCCAGATCAGGGGTTGATTATAGGACTACTAATCAGTGCCTGATGAAGTGAATTTTGATTGCGTCCGATTAGTAAACCACGTGCTCCCTGGATATCTTTAAAAAAAAAAAATTAATATATTTTATTCATAAATTGGTTGTTATGTCAGTCATAGGCATATACTTTCCATTCTGATCGTGAGGGAGGACGAGAGACGATGGACCCACCAAAAAAAGTCTTATTTTTTAAAATTAATAAGTTTAATATTATTCTAGTCTCCTATCATTTTAAGAAAAGATTATAAAACGTGAAACATTCCTCAAGATAGGACAACTACACAACCTCAGTATAAAATTACTACAATATTTATATAAATTCAAGAGAAGAGATATGACAAATCCATCAAAATTATTTTAAACCTGTAAAAAAGAAACATTCATATGGCTGAATAGGTCTTACCTGGTTTTTGAGTGTGTTGAGAATGACTGAAGAGCAGGATAACAACACATATGATGTAGATAGGGTGAGTTAGGAATATTTTAGGATGTTTGCTTAAATACATATATTGAAAAAGGAATTTAATAAAGATTTAATTTAATATAAATTTGCCAAGTACTAAACAGTTAGCCTAAACTTTACATATAAATTTTAGGAGTTTCGTATCAAAAACTCGACGCCGAATGGATATTAAACCACAATTTCAATGGATGTTCAACCAAGATTTCAATGAATATTCAACTGAAATAGTATTATAATAGACAGTCTATTGGAAATGTTCAAATATAGAATACAGGCTATACCATTTAAAAATAGAATAACGTTTAAAAAATAGTAATAGGATTTTTTTTTTTTTTATGCTTTTGGATATTGAAAATATCTAACAAAACAATTGGATAAATTACAATTTGTATACATTAAACATAAGATGGAGGGATATAGCTTCCATAACATAGGGTACATTTCTAGAAATTTTTCAGCTAAAAATGGATATTGTTAAAACTGAAAAATACTTTTGATTTTTAATTTGTACAACCTCCAAATAAAAATAAAACGTTTTCTAATTCTAACTATGTAAAAATATTCTGTATAAGATATATTTATACTTGAACGTATTAAATAAATTTTTTCCAACTTTATGGCAGAAAATTTATAAGAAAATTATGTGAAAATGGAGGTGGCCACATGAAAAGTGAATGAATAATAAAATCCAAGGATATGTTTCTGTATTATTCCTGAAAATGAATGAAAATTTGAATAATAGGAATATTTAGGTTGTGATAAAATAGTTACGTTCCTACTTATAGGCCTCAGCTAGCTAGTTGACTTTTCTTATTTTCCTAATCGATTTTAATTTACATATTTTATTCATTAATGTAAGCTTATTTGTTATCAATTTTAATTTGATCGCCCCCCTAAGTCTGCGCCTATGATCTCATCCTCAAGTTATAGCGTGTCGCAATAGCTAATTGGCAGTTTTTTTTTTTTTTTTAATAAAACAAGGCTGAGATTTGTTTGAAGGATATTTCCTTATTACTTTCTCTTTGGAGATAAGTGTGAAATTTTTATTAATTCATCAGTGTTTTGCTATTTCTTAGTTAAAAAAAGCTGTGTAGAATTTATTTTGGGTTCTTTAGTTTTGTAAAAATACCTGGTTGGCCTGAAGAATTTGAAGATCTAATACTGGTGCAAAATATGCTTTCAGAATTCCTTAAGTTTTTCATGAATAATTAACTACATTAAGCGCACCAGTTATGGACACAGCTAATGAAATTTTTGGCTTAAACCGCCGGTATTATTATAATTATAAATTTCTCCGTTGAACATTTAGAATCTCCATGGTCTCATTTTTCTATTTAACATTTTAAAATTGAAAAAAAAAAAAACATTCAGTTATGCTGGTATAATCTCCATTAAAAAAAACACTTTTTTGAACTAGTGATGGATACCCCGAAATTAAATTGTTTTAGTACTGGACTGGGGATCAGTACCAGTAATAGACATACCTCAGAAAAATTATAAAATATTTATTTAACTATAAAGATAACAATTAAGATAATATACCATAAATGTTCAACTTACTCTTAGTAAAACTGTTAGTAGGAAGGTATAAAACACACTGATCTCAAGAGAACTATTGAAACAACAATGATGGGCATTTTTTCTGGCAACTGTTTCAGTTATCAATAGATGCCATTTTTCTCCAATCTAAAAAAAAACTGGAGCCTTTAAATCAACAAGGAAACTTATCATTTACATTTAAAGTCCAACCTGTCCATCGCTGGGTCTACTGCCCATAACTGGTGCGTTCACTCTAATTGACTGTATATAAAAAAAAAGTGTCGTAAAAGACTAAATTTTCTGCCAATTAAACCCATTTGCAAAAATCCACCTCCAGAAGTAAAGCTGTGATTCACATTAATGTTAACATTTTTTCTTTAAGTGTCTATTACTCAAACATTATATATCCTAAAATCTTCAGAATAAATACTCCCTGAAGTAGTACACAAAATAACTCAATGAGGGGGTCACATATACTCACAACAACCACATCCATACTTACTATCATATAACCAGCAGAAAAGAATACATATTTACTACATCTTCTGATTTTCAAATGCAATTAATTTACAATTTAGTTCATTGACATTATTGTGAAGCGGAGAATGGATTTTTATTTTTTAGTTAAGGATTTTAGACATTTTTATAATTTTCTCAAAAAGAGCTCTAACAATTTAAACTGAACTTTTTATATCAATGTAAAATTGAATGTTCCTTAATACTAATTAGATCTTATCCTTCATTGAAATGCCAAGATTTATTCCTCTAAATATCTTTAATTTTGGTTATTACAAAAAATTTAAGATTGTTAGTAATGATCCTTTACCCCTACTCTATTGAATATTGCTTTGGTGTATGCAATAAGGGTGATCCGGACGTGTCCTGGTAGCACTATTTATAATAGGATGATGCAGCATCTAGTTTATGCTGATGATGTAAAACCAGCAAGACATAAAACAGCAATAGCATGGGTACTTGAAAAATTTGTAATAGCAGCAAAACAACTAGGGTTTCAAATAAATGAGA